CCAATTCAACTCATGAAGGTAACATCATGTTTATAATACTATATACTTTTTATATATGTAATTTTTAATTATAATGAAAAACTAATGTTTGAATCCACATATATGCTCTCTTCATTCCATTTAAACAGTCGTTTTTAGCTATTTTCACCCATTAAGAAAATAATAAACACAATGTATAGTTTATTAAATCACACTTATTTAATAAAAGAATGATGAGTTTTTCCTCTTCCTTATATTGACTTAGGTAATTCTCCACTCATGAACTAGCTTTTGGAGTTGAGTTAAACTCACATATCAAATACTTACATGGTATCAGAGTCTGGTATCATCCCGTTTGAGCTACCAATCCACGCTCTAGTTGGGCCTGGGCGTGAACATGGTTGTTAGAATGGGTAAAAGTATTTGGGAATGGACTGGTGATCTCATGAGTTAATTTCTGGAGATGAGTTACACTCAATTATCATATCTATACGATTATGAATCATTTTGACATGGGACAATCTAATACATCAAGTTGTACATTTTGTGCACGTAGTTTAAATTGTACCATTTACTAAAAGAAAAAGGGCACTCATGGCCTCCTGGGAATGGTCAGACCACAAATGTCTATTGTATACAGTCTTATTCTGCATTTCTGTTAGATATTATTTTCACAGCTCGAATAAAACAAAGAAAACAATAATGCATCTTTTTTTCCCAGGATTTGGTTTGAGTTATGGTATTGATCAAATCTTTGAACAAGCTGCTGATGTAATTGCTCCTGCTAGAGGAAATGCTCAAAATCTCAACAGTGATGGTAGTGATGCAGCTGGAGGAGGTAACAGGAGAAGAAGGGCAGCTACAATTGAACAAGAAACACTGATGGAGAAGAGGCAACGTCGAATGATTAGGAACAGGGCATCTGCTCAACGATCCAGGGCTCGAAAACAGGTTAGTATAGATATATTTCCATATAAAATTAAATGTAACGAGTTTTTAGCTAGAGTTATCTGATACATGTTGTTGTGTTAGATAACAACTCTTATAGATTGTTGTTGAGAAAGGAAACATAGCTTCATTAAATTGGATGTGTCTTGCAATATGTGTATTTTTTTCATGGGATTTGTTGAGACAAAGGTAGTCATGGTGTGAGGGACTATAACTAAGGAATAATACATAAGGGTGACTTTGGAATTACATCTTTGTGTTGATTATAGGACAGAGGCGAATTTGAGATTTGAAGATCACGGGGGTACCATTATGTTAACGTAGGCTCTAGTAAAACTTTCAGTGATGATTGAGAGATAATATCATGTTCGATTGTTCATAATAGTGTGAGCAATAGGGAAAATACAAATACATAGGTCAAATATGAGATCTAACACTTAGGCAGATACGAATTCGGGATTTAAAGACCGCGTGCGGGCTCCATTTTATTAATGTAGGGTTTAGTAAGACTTCCAACGATGATTGAGGGATAATATCAAGTTCAATTGGTCATAATAGTGTGAGCAGTAGAGAAAATACAAATATATAGGTCAAATATGAGCTCTAATACATAAGCAGAGATGAATTCAGGATTTGAAGACCACGCGAGGGCTCCATTTTGTTAATGTAGGGTCTAGTAAAACTTCCAATGAAGATTTAGGAATAATATCGTATCTAATTGGTCATAGTGGTGTGTGCATTGATTATGAAAAATGTGTTATTTTGACATCAATCTGGGGCGGCAGTTATGGAAGCAACAACTTCAACCAACACCCTAAGGTGCACTTCTGTTTATAAGGATGTACAATTAAATATATATACATTACTCAAAGTATATATACATACGTATACATACAATTTTTCGAAGTTAACAAGCATATATACGCATTCACCTATATATGTGGGTCCGCCTTTGATTATTATAGGGTAATTACTTGAACAGAGTAATCATTGCTATGATGCAGGCATATACAGCTGAATTGGAGGCACAACTCGAAAAAGTGAGAGATGAGAATGAGAGGCTCAAGTCAATTGTGGTAATTATTACTCACTCTTTTTATTTATTTTTGACATGAGCAAGACTTGATTTGCATCTACAATAAAAGAAATGATATTGACTATATCCTAGGTTTTATAAAATTATAGTATAATATAATATATTGATGGAAAAGAAATATTTGTTTATGATTAGTTTTATATCATTTTAATCTTATAAGTAGTTCAATTAATCGATTATCTAAACTTTCAGCTGATTGATGATGTTCGATTCCTCATATTGCAATCATCATTAAACTCCCCTAGTTCCCCTTCCCCTACCCCCAACTTTCGAAAAATAATATATAAAAAGAAATAGTGTAGTTTTTGTTTTTAGAGTGAAAAATGATATTTAAAATTTTTGATCATGAATATAAACTGGAGGTTTTTTTTTACTTTTTCTAAGTAATTTGAAGTGAAAATAACTTTATGTTGATTTTCAAACTTTGGAGTTCAACTTCAAGAAGTTGAATTCCAGAATTTTATTATCAAATATGTTTTTCGAAGTTCAACTCTGAAAAAAAAAGTGAAAATTTCATGGCTTAGTACTTATAGCTATGTTCCTATGATGTAGGAGGAGAAAAAGGAAGAAACAACAAAAGCTCAATGGATGGGTAACACAATGAAGAAACTTAGGAGGAGTGTTTCATTTTGAAAGAATCAACAAAAGTCAGTGAATGGTTAATAAATAAAGTGAAAACACTTGGAAGGATCTCAAGTGTTTCATGGTGAACATCTCTAGTTTTTATTATATTAAGGATTGCTAAAGGATTATGGTGTTGTTAACTATGTTTTCCTTTGATACAAGTATCTTAGTATGTGTGTGTGTAAGTTAACTAATGTGTTTACTTTCTGGATTTAGTCTTTAATATATATATAAAACATAATTTAAACCATAATGCTCTTTCTCTATTTATTATTTGTGTGATGTTATTTGAAGTATGAAACTTTAAAATCATAAAAGGAGTTTTGAAATTTATAGTTTATAGCATGTTTGGTCAAATATTTTAAATTAGTTTATTTTGAAAAGTCTATTTTTAAAAATAGTTTTGGTGATAAAAAATGCTTCAGAGTGTATTTTTTTCAAATGTGTTTTTAATAGAAGTATTTTTAGAAAAAAAAATTACTTTTTAAGCATCTTGAGAAATAGCTTTGGCTACTCCTCAAATACTTATTTTCTCTCAAAAGTTTGATGTTTGTGCTTTCTAATTTCCATTTTAGTTTGGTTCCTTTGAATTTATTATATTATTGTATCATGTTTGATTTAATAAACTTTTATTTAAATTTCTTTAACTTAAATTTTATGTTGTTTACAACAAAGTCTGAAATCATCATAAATATGTCTAACTCACTTATCGCTTGTTATGCTTCTATTACTAAATTAAAATATTGATTTTTTTGTGTGTCTAGTTATTATATGAATAAATTTATAAAATAATTTTAAGAATCTTATAATATATTTGTCTTTTACATCACCAATTTATTAAACCGCTCTTCATGGAATATCCAAAATTCTCAACAATCTCCTCTATTTATGAACTAAAATTAGGAACACTAGAACTAAGGAATATTCAACCTACTAGTAGGGTAAAGAAGAAAAAGAGCAATAAATTTTATACTTACTTTATTAGTTATGATAAAATTCATATGTACTTTATCAAAATCACAATATACATAAATTTTATTTATAAAAATGAATATATTTTTACAAATGTCTAACATGAATTTTAAACAAAATTTATACATAATTCATAGATATTTTTCTTTTTACTACAATCTTAAATGATCTATACTTTCATGGTCTATTTCTCTTCTTCTCAACATGAATTTCTTAAATTATGAAACCAGCATGCCTACATTTTAAATTCTACGGATCATTGTGTATTAATTCTTTTACGAAAAAATTACATAAATACACATCTTTTGTTTAATTTATTTTCATTAGTTTTTATTATTTTTTAAAAATTTAAAATTTCTTATTTCTTTAATGTGTCTGAGCTGCATGTTAATGTATTCGAGCCAGTATTTAATGTATTCGAGCTACATATTGTGTATCCGAGCTACATATTAATGTATTCAAGATAGTATTTAATGTATCCGAACTTCAATTATTATTATCCAATTTTTTAATTTTTTAAGGGATTAATGTAATCAGAAAGTTATTAGGGATAGATTGTCATTTCATATTAAAACTATGAGATTTTCAATTTACACGCTTTTTTTTTCACTTTTAGTTTGATAAATACTTTAATCCACATTTGCTTTTTAAATATTGCCTTTTTATTTTTTTATCAAAAAAAAAAATGGTTCTGTGTCGAAATCAAAGTGAAACTTTAATGGTGTTTATGAGAGCTTTTGATAGTGTATCAAAATTGATGAAAACATAACTTCATTGATCACTATATTTCTCATTTGTATACCATTTTGTAATATGTATCTTGTTATGTTTCGTAAACTAGAAAATCTTGTTACTATAGGTAAATATGAATCCAATTTTCCGTTATTAAATTAATTTTTTTTTAAAATACGATATTTTGATTATTTTTTTTTTTATATATATATATATATATATATATATATATATATAAAATAAATAATAATCAAAATATCGTATTTTAAAAAATATTAATTTAATAACGGAGAAATGACAAATATACTCTGAACTATTGTAAATGTATGCAGATATCATTCGTCATATTTTGGAACATCTGTATCTTTACCATTCAAAAACTAGAGTTCACATGCCGTTCACTCTAACAGAAGACTAAATATGGACACGTGATACAATCTTATCAGTCGATCCCAATATTTAATGAATGTCGGGTCGATAAATAAAATTATGACACGTGTATGCCTGTTAGTATAAATGGTATACATGCTCTGATTTTTAGACGGCAGGAGTATCAATATCCCAAAAATATGACGACAAATATCTATATATCATTGACGATAGTTCGAAGGTAATAAAATATGAGTTGGGATCTCATTTTTAAAACATGTACAAATATATACTTTCTTAACAAAGCCCATATATCTTTTAGCAAGACCCAACAAGCCCATTGAGAACTTAGCTTTAACCCTCAACTTCTTTGCCACCACTCCGCCGCTCACTCAATTTGCAGAGACGATTCTTCCCATTCTACTTTGAGCCATGAGGTATATACACAAAAGCTTCAATCTTTTTTGCTTTTCCTTCTATTTTAAGCTGTATAGTTCTTTTTTTTTTTGCACAATTTGAGTATGTTTTGATTCTTTTAGTTTTTGCTGGAGTTGTTGACAGTAGGCACATGTTCATTCAATTATTTCTTTGATTAGAGATGTGGGTTTTTTTAGTTTTCAAAAATGGGATCTGGGTTAGTAACATAATTGTTGATTGAATATATATTGACATGATAATGAGAATTAGAGATGGATAGGTTGAGCACCACGAGGTCTCAGGTTAATACTCACACCTGTTGCTGATGTATCGTGTGGAATTAGTCGAGGTGGGCGCGAACGGGTCCTGACATTATGATTATAAAATAAAAAAAAATGAAACTAGAGGTGTATAATTTCTCATTTTGTAGGTTGTTTTATTTTGCTGAATTGTATGTAAAATGGCATTTGTTGATGTGGGGTTGTCTTGAATGTGCAAGTGAATGTAATGCAAGGGGAAAAACTGATTTTTGAAGTTGAAACTTATAGAAAGTTGAGTAAAATTTACTGCTTTTCGCTAGGTTTGATATATTGTAAGTTCGGTGTAGAATTTGAACATTTTAAATTCATTTTGATAAGGTTAGTATGGTGGAGGGAGAAGGATGAGATTTAGAGAATCAGTAGTTTAGAGAAACCTTTTTTTTTGAAGGATGGATTGTTTAGTGTTGAAATAAATTTGGCCGCAATGACGCCAAATGGATATGGTATGTGAGGTTGCTGCTGCTTCCAGGCTATGTGTTGAGTCTTGAAACGGATAGACCGAAGAGGAAAAGGGACACCATTGACTCATAGGTAGTAGGTTCGAGGGTGGCGCTTACCATGTCTTGGGATGGGGAAAAGCAGGAGCAGAGCTAGCATCCCGATTATGTGTAGTTTTGATGCTGCCTGCACCTTTTATATGTTAAATATAATCACTTGTTATGTATAAAAAATTTATCAAGAACCCACTAACTTTCTTTTCTTAAAATTTAAAACTCATAAACTCAAAATCCTAGTTTGGATTGAGGTATAGTTGATTGAGTTGTAGAGTTAAGATCATATTTATTTTTGTGCCTTTAGCATGATATATTGGATAAATACGCCTGTTATTTGGGTTAATTACCTTCATTAATCTAGTTTGATGTTGATTCTTCTACAGTAAGCTTCAGAGTGATGCCTTAAGAGAAGCCATCACCGTGATTAAGAATGATTCAAGTGAGAAGAAAAGGAAGTTCACCGAAACCATTGAGCTTCAGATTGGTTTGAAAAACTATGATCCTCAAAAGGACAAGCGTTTCAGTGGTTCAGTTAAGTTGCCACACATTCCTCGCCCCAAGATGAAGATTTGCATGCTTGGAGATGCTCAGCACGTGGGAGAGGTAATCCGCCTTAAATAGTCATAGGAATAATAATTGAGTTGCATTTTTCCTGTATTCTCTATCCTTAACATTTGGGGAAGCTGCAGCCTCACATTTGCATAAGCATCGCTTCGAAATTACTGTTGAAGTTTTAGGTGATGGATCCTCAAACTCTTATACTCAACTTGAACAATACTAATGTTGATTCAATTATCTTCTTTGTAGCTTTAGAGTCTTAATAAGATGATAGCATTTGTTATCAAAGAACTCTTGAAATATTTCTGGTCAATCTGTAGCTTCGATTACACATGTCTTGGCAGTGAATCCCGAGGTTTAGTTTCTAGTCATACAACACTAGTGCCTTGTATATTAGTTAGTGCAATTTCATTTTTGACTGACAGTTTCTTAGCTTTGAGGAAGCAGCAATATCTGTAGAGGTCCAATTTTATATGCAGTGGACCTGCTTAGTTCTCGTAACTGTTTGAAATTTTGTGGTTGCTAATGTACCTAAAGGCTAAAGTTACTGCTATAGATGATTTTGTGCAAAGTGTGATCAAAGCTTTATTGCATTTGTTTTTCAGGCAGAAAAGATTGGTTTGGAGTACATGGATGTGGAAGGTCTGAAGAAGCTTAATAAAAACAAGAAGTTGGTTAAGAAGCTCGCAAAGAAGTACCATGCTTTCTTGGCATCAGAAGCTGTTATCAAGCAGATCCCCCGTCTCTTGGGGCCTGGTTTGAACAAGGCAGGCAAGTACAATAGACTATTTCGATGTTTTAACTAGCTGTAGAGATGGTTTGGTTTATGTCTGATGTCTTTGGTTTATTGTTGTACATATTGGTAGTCGTGGCTGATTTTGATAGAACTACTTCCGTTAACTCATTATCCTGACATGTAAGTGCATATGTAAGAATGAACAATTCACCTTGTACAACAGTCTTACCGGCCATGCTTACTAACCAGACATTGATTGATTTAGTTTCACCTCTTTAATAATTCACCGGACTTTCTAATTAGCATTTTTCAGCAATTAATGTAGTAATATCCAAGCGGTCTCCATTTTGTGAGAAAAGTTGGCACTTTTTCTTCTTGTTGTTCGGGTCTCGTTAAGTATCATGCCTCAACTTTTTACAATTGCAGCTGTGTATATAAAGAGCATAAATGCCAATCTCACTTAAAAGTGGTTTATTTATATCGTTTTTTGCCCATCTCTTAACTAGTTTTCGTTATCTTTATAATGCAGGTAAGTTTCCTACCCTTGTTTCCCACCAGGAATCACTCGAGTCTAAGGTAAACGAGACCAAGGCGACTATCAAATTCCAGTTGAAGAAGGTTCTTTGCATGGGAGTTGCCGTAGGTAATATGGATATGGAGGAGAAACAAATCTTCCAGAACGTGCAGATGAGTGTCAACTTTCTCGTGTCCTTGCTAAAGAAGAATTGGCAAAATGTGAGTTTACTTCATCTATCCACGAGCCTTTACCTTAGAGTTTGTACGAGTACTAATGTTTCTTTGTCGTTAATGCTCACAGGTGAGATGCTTGTACTTGAAGAGTACCATGGGAAAGACTCAACGCATCTTCTAAGGACATTGTATTACAATCTTTGCAGTTTCAGGCGTTTTGACTTGTACGCGTTATAGATACTATTGCATTTTTTGTTTAGTTGTGCTCCTTGGATACTGAGTTGAAAACTTTATATCAGTTTTGTTATGATTTTACTTTTTCTTTTCTCCTTTCTGTTGATTTTCTTGAATATTGTCAACTTTCATATCTAAAGGAAAACTCAAATTTTGTGGTTTAACTGCTATTAAACCTCTTTGCTTTTCAATTTTGTTTGATTGTTACGTTGCTTAAGGGTAAAGTCTGCGAATACTCTATGTCTCTATCTCTCAGGTCTCACTTATGGAATATGTTGGGTATGTTATGTATTACCGCCCCATCGTTTCCACTACAACTAGGATTTCTTTTTTGATTTTTTTCATTCGTTTTCGATATTCATATTAGAGTCTGAATGCCCCATAAGTCTATAATGGCTTCTTTGGTTGGCCTTCTAGAAATCCATTGCTAACAAAAATCACTACCAGTTTCCTCCATCACCACCACCAACAATCCATCCATAGATCTAATGGTAGCAAATTTCAACTCAACACAAGTCCAAAACCCTTCAAATATGGGCTACACTGAAAACATGTCTGCAACTTATCATTCTCCTACAAGCCCTTAGATTTCTTCTTCAATGTTGTGAATGATACTCCTTCCAAATCACTCATCCAGTACTTACACCGCGCTTGGGATCATAACCCCCTAACAGCATTGAAACTGATCTGCAATTTGCGCGGTGTTTGTAGTACTGGAAAATCTGATAAGGGAAGTTATTACACTGCTGCATTGTGGCTAAATGCAAAGACTGAAGTTGAAAGATTGAAAGAGAAAGCGAGTATAGATAAAACGGTAAAGAAAATTGAATATGGCGAAGAAGACGTTTTTTGATAGATACAGTGTTGATCCGGATGATAAATTCTTGCATAATTGCGTATCTGATTTATCCGTGAATTGTTTGAAGTTGGATCTTGACTTGTTAGGCGATGAGAAGTTGACGGTGATTAGTCTTGCTGCTAAATGATGTCCATCTTTAGATTCAGATACTTTTATGTGAAACTATAGCTAGAAAGGTGTTTCCAAGAGAATTGTGTTGTGAATACGAAGGGATTGAAGATGCACATTACGCGTATAGAGTGAGGGATCGATTTAGGAAGCAAGTTCTCGTCCCTTTACGTGCTGCATTAGAGTTGCCGGAGGTTTATATAGGTCGAAAAGATTAGGGTTTGATACCTTACAATAGAGTAGCATCAGTTGCTATGAAGATATACAAAGATAAATTCATGTAATACGAGGGAAAAGAAGTTTAAAGAGTGTATTGAGAAAGTGAAAGAGGGGAAGGCTAAGATTCCTGCTGGTGCATTGCTACCTCATCGATAATCGGAGAGTTAAACGACACGGATGATGAGGATCAAGTTGCTACAAAGAAACTGTGAATTACATAGGATTTTCCTGGGGATTAGTATGAAAATTCAAAAGAAACTTATTTTCCTGCAAATTTTCACACTAATTCCCATGAAAATCTCTATGTAATTCACAGTTTGCTTATAGTATAGTAGATAACTTGTCGATAAAGGGGAAGTTGAAAAATTGTCTTACTGTTTGTGACGTATCTGGTAGTATGACGGGTACTCCAATGGAAGTGTTCGTGGCATTAGGAGTCCTTGTTTCGGAGCTAAGTGTAGAGCCATGGAAAGGCAAGCTTATCATGTTCAGTAACAACCCGACCCTTCAAATAGTCGAAGGGGAGAGTTTGATTTCTAAAGTCGAGTTTGTGAGATAAATGGAATGGAGAATGAACGCTGATTTTCAAAAAAAGTTTTTGATTTAATACTGAAAGTGGCTATTGATGGAATTTGATCAAGCCTCGACGAATCAATGGGAGACGGATTATGAGACGATTGTTAGGAAATTTAAGATGAATGGATACGAAAATCGTGTACCTGAGATTGTGTTTTGGAATTTGAGATATTCGAGAGCTGCACGAGTGAAAGCAAAGAAGAAAGGAGTTCGAGCTGTGAGTGATTTTTCGAAGAATTTGGTTACGTTGTTCATGGAAGAGAGGGATTTTAATCCTGGAGATATAATGGAAACAGCAATTTCTGGTGAAGAATATCAAAACCTAGTTGTGCTTTGATTGATAAATGAAAAAGTTATGAAAAATTGTCAAGCTTAACTTTTTTGTATTTCATTGTCAAATATATGGTCTGTTTGTTATATTTTATGAACAAAAAATAAGGTTACTCAGTCCAATAAGACTTGTGAATGATTCAACAAATCTTTGTTGACTCAAATGGTTGCATTTAGAGTTTAATTATAGGTCTATATAGGATTCAGAGGTCCTGGTGTCACGTTGTTCAAGTAAGATAAGCGGACGAATTATTTTTGGATTATAATTGAGTTACTTTTTATTTAAATCAATCGATCGAATATGCATATTTTCACACTAAAATTTGAACTTGTATAAATCATCTAATAGGTGTTAAACTTTATATATTCGTATTCCATTGATTTTATGTAATAAGACAAACATGTGATATGTATTTTATGATAAACTACTTTAGTTTGAAATAATTACAATTTGTATAGTCTTATCTCTTTCCCTCTTTCTCTCTCTCGTCCCTTTCTCTCTACTACAACTAAATAAAACATTTATATAATATGACAATTGTATTATGTATTTGTATTTCATATAAACTATATATATATATATATATATATATATATATATATATATGTATATATATTACATATCAATTGTATATATATTATGTATCAATTGTATTATGACAATTTATATTCTGTAAATTGTATTTGTCGATACAAATTGTATTCATTAATATAATTATATACTTGTTTTCACTAATATAATTGATACAAACCAATTGCATTTGTGATAAACTTGATACAATGAATACAATATGTATTGATCCTCTCGGTCGAATGTATTATGTATCAATTGTATTCAATCAAATATAAGTGAGAGGTTTGTATTTTATATCAACTATATTTGTAATATTTGTCAATGGTAGTCGTGATACTATGAATATAATGTGTACTCATCCTCTCTCCTCCCTCTCTCAATCTCACTCGCCTCTCTCAATCTTGTTCGCGTCTCTCCTCCTTATATGTAGCTAAATACAATAGCTTCGTGATACAACCTGAAACAACGAATACAATAGGTATTCAACATTTCTCTCCCTCTCTCTTTCAGATCTTGTTGGCCTCTCTCCTACCTCAAACATGTAACTGTAATTCGTAATTAGGTAACCTATAGCTATAAATCTCTAATTAAGTCCTAACTATAGTCATTTTTGAAAGTTTCCATTTTATTATGCTGTGCTATTAAAAATTAACTTTTTGTTGTTTAAATTTTTTTGTCGCTCCTTTTAAAAAGAAAAACTTTTTTCTTTTCTAATTGTTTCACCTTCTTTTTGGTTGGAAAAATGAATATTTATGTCTTTTTTTAATCTTTTATTTATTAAGGTGGAAATGCTTGATAGTCAAATAAATATTAATATCGATACATTACATAATTGTTTATATCATATCGATATACGATTATACATCATTTATATAATGCTTATATATTACATACCTATTTATATAATATCGATACACGATTATACATCATTTATATAATGCTTATATATTACATACCTATTTATATAATATCAATATATTACATGATATACACTATATAACTATTTGTACATTGTATATACATGTTTATACACTATTTATATTAGACAGATACATTTTATATAACTACTTATAAAATATTGATACATAATATATACACTGCATAACTATTTATACAACCTATATATTTATTTTTACACCATTTATAGAATATTAATAGATGGAAAAAATTGCATGAAATTTTTTTTAGTAAAAAGGAAAAGAATTTTTTTAAATTATTCAAAAATTGCATCTAACAAACAAAATAATTTTCTTTTTCAAAAAAATTAACACCGGAAAAAGGAAAAATTGCGTGGATAAGTAAATATATACGAGTTAATACGACAACACAGTTATAGTTTGAATTAATTACGATTCACAACTTGATTTTAGCTATGGTTACGTCACTCACAGATATAATACAATTAGCCTCTCTCCACTCTCTCCACTCTCACGCTCGCCTCTCTCTTTCCTCTCCCAGTCTTACCCGGCTCTCTCCCCATCTCCCAATCTCGCTCGCCAGAAACACAAATGCATATGTATATTAGTTACATATATACAATTATCTGACATATATACATATATAGTTTGCATCTCCCCACTCTTTGTCGTCTCGCTCGCCTCACTATTCTCTCTCTCAATCTTGCTCGCCAGATATACAAATACATATGTATACCAGCTACATATATACAATTATTTGACAGATATGCAATTTGACGGACATACATATACAATATGCCTCCCTCCATCATCTACAGTTTCTCGCTCGCTTCTCTCTCCCTCTCCCGATCTTGCTCGTTTCTCTCCCCTCTCTCCTAATCTCGCTCGTCTCTCTCAATCCTTTAACATTCATCTATGACTCGTAACTAGAAAAATATAGCCATGGAGCATAAGTTAATTATTTTTGACTGGCTATAGTGATGAAGTAAAAATGGACTAATGGCCTTGGGCCGAGCTATGTTGAGCCCATGACCCTTATGGAGTTTTTTTTAACAACTTTCACATATAGTAAATATAAAAATCATATTTGTTGTTGGAGCTATAGTTTGCATAATTGCGCTACATGATAAATTTTATGTTTGCTATGAAGCTTTTGATTTGCATAGTCTTATCTCTTTCCCTCTCTCTCGTGCGTCCCTTTCTCTCTAGTACAACTAAATAAAAACATTTATATAATATGACAATTGTATAATGTATTTGTATTTCATATAAACTCTATTTATATTACATATCAATTGTATATGTATTATGTATCAATTGTATTATGACAATTTATATTTTGTAAATTGTATTTGTCGATACAAATTGTATTCATTAATATAATTGATATACTTATATTCACTAATATAATTGATACAAACAAATTGCATTTGTGATAAAACTTGATACAATGAATACAATATGCATTCATCCTCTCTATCGAATGTATTATGTATCAATTGTATTCAATCAAATATAAGTAAGAGGTTTGTATTTTATATCAATTGTTGTATTTTGTATCAACTATATTTGTAATATTTATCAATTGTAGT